TTTGTAGAATCGCTTTCCATCACTTTCGTTTCTTCAAACGTAGGGCCTATTTCTAAAAATTGCAGTGAATAGGTACTCTCAAACCTAATGTTTTCGCATCGTGTATTTGATGTTTTGGCCAGTTCGGCTAAGTTTACCCCCCTCCCCCCCCCCCCAAGTTTACTATAATGATGTTCAGTCTTTCAATTGGATTAGATGTCTGTTATGTTATTTATATACCGTATTTCCTCAAGAAGATGGTCCTTGTTTAGTTCTCAATTTTTCAATAATTTTGACTTAAACTCTGTAAAATATCTCTTCTGATAGTGTTTTCTTGAGCTTGGACAGTTTACACAATAGTTATAGGCGGTCACAGATTATGATGATAAAGTCGGAGATGAACTAATACATAATTCAGAAGATGGACACATGAAAAGGTAATAAAAGGAAACGATTTGTCAAAGGAGAATGGAGTCAAGGCGCTCCTAGTGGACTGATGAGGAACTTAACATGCGACCCACAACACAACCACAGGTGACTTGATAACAATACAAGGCCACTTCCGGTTTGTTTTCTTCTCCTCTTATCCTTCTTCTTCTTCTATGATTTATGTCTTATTCGTTGTATATGTAGTAGTACGTCTCGGACGTTGTAGTGAACAGTTTTTGTTGATATTCTACCAAACCAACAAAAAGTATGGAGGATCTGTTGAGTTATATTTTGAATGTGATGACAGATTTTCTTCTTACCTAAACAGAACTAAATTGGCAAAACATTGTGTTTTCGTTTTGTCTTGTACAGTGAATACTTTTGGTTATTTTTTACCAACTAAAACCTGTAATTTAATTGAATGACTTATTTATGCATAATATTTAACTTGTTACTGATATTAAAAAGAAAACAAAGATTAAAACCAACTTGTTTTATTTTTTTAAACATTCATTTAATTTAAAATTACTCACTCCTATGGTTTATTTAAATTATCGATGTTTTATTGTTGTTAATGTTTGTTGTTGTTGTTGTTGTTGGTTAAAGCTCAACTACCCAGGAGGAGCAGTCCTTACACAAAAATGTATGTCCTTACTAAATTTTGTCCTTATAGATATTTTTAGGCAAATACAAATGACTGTAAGACAGTAATATTATAGGTTTAGGGACAACACTTTTAAAATTATATGTTTACTACTCAAATTTTAAACTTGTTCAATCTACAACCTAAGATTTTACAGCGCAGTTTGGGACAATGTAAACTGAATATTTACTAACAAACCTAATAATAATAAATCAGCTGATGAATTAATCACTAACAGATTTAACTATCTAACACTTTTCCCCTCCTTCTTTTTACGCAGATTCTACAGCTCCCATTCTTTGTCTCATCTGGTCGGCATGCTTTCTTTTTATAACACCTCCACACTGAAAAGACGGTACTACACAACAAAGCAGGAGGTCGGAGATGGAATGCTAGCTCTTCAAAATGTTCTTTTTAGCTACCGAAACTCGCCTCAGAAAACAACCGGTAGGGCTCCGGCAGAATTGTTTCTCGGTCGTAGACTACCAACAATTTTTCACACAATATGAAACCTAATCTTAGGAAAAAGATGGAAATTAAGCTTTGGAAAGAACAAGGGAGAGACAACAAGAAAGTTCGAACTTTTGAAGAAGGAGAAGATGTGTGGATTAAGAATGAACATGGAAATAGTTGGTCAGCTGGAATGGTGAAAAATAGAAATGGACTGTATTCATATGATGTACTTTCAAAGGCAGTAGAAAGTTTGAAATCTTTCTTAATGGTGCAGGACCCACATATGCAAGCAAAAGATCCCTTCGAGCATCCTCTGCTCTCTGAGAGTCTTCTCCCAATCCTTTTACCTTGCATAGTAAAAGAAAATGTGCTTCATAATCGTCCCACCTACTAGACTCATCATAGCTTTGACATTTGAACTTCTCTATCTTTGATTGTAATGTGTCTTCTTTAGTTTCATACTTCTCTTCTTCATTGAAATAACTATTTCTTCTTTTGGTTCGTTTACTCATCGTCGTCAATATAGAATTACACTAAATGATATTCAAAATACAAAAGAACCATTTTATTTAATTCTTAAACACATCAATGTAAACTGAATATTTACTAACAAACTTAATAATAATAAATCAGCTGATGAATTAATCACTAACAGATTTAACTATCTAACAATCATTCCCTACTCTGAGATGAATCCACAACCACAGCTTTAATCTGTAACACAATTCAGGCAAATTTTAACTCATGAATGGAAGAGTGTGGAAATGTAGCTTTGTAACTGACTAAGATCAGCTGTTTATTTAGCAAAGATTAATTAAAAGCCCAAAGATCGAGGTCAGCTATGTCCAGTTTGGAATTACAAAAGTGGCCAACATTTCTCAGGACTAAACCAACAGCTTTCTGATTGGTTAGTTGAACACTTTAACCACTCAGCTACCATGCAGCTCCACACTGGGCCTTCTTGGAAAGCAGAGGAGTGGGCTAACTACTCAAATTAGCCAAAGAGATAAGACATTCCTTTGTTATCTTGGGTCTAATCAAACAACCCAACATTTAAAGTATGACTCAATCCCTGTTGTGTGTCAATGGACTTCAGGGTTTGGATTACAAATACACTAACTCTAATTGGGGTTATCGGGGTTTTATTTATTCGAGTATAACTAGTTTTTTTCAATTGATAAAACATGTTGAAGCTAATTTTATTGTTAGTTCCGGTGCATTGTAGAGGTTGTGTTTTGTTATTTCAGTCATTTAAAATCTCGTTTAACCAAATAAAACGATCTAATCATAAACAATACCTCATTTCCTATTCCTAGTTATGTAACCAAAACGGTAAAGCAAAAATCATGAAATTAGCTCGAAAAAATTTTGTCGACACTAACGCCCAGTGTGTCACGTACAAATAACGCCCACGACAAGAACTAGACATGGAAAACTAGCTTCAAAATTTACAAATAGACTGAGTTAGTCTATGTTTTTACTGAGTGAGAATGTAGAGTAGTTGAATGGGTTTTGCATACAATGTTTTATTATTGGTTTCTAATTCCATTTTGCTTTTAAAAGTATGTGGGCATAACAAATTCAATAGAAAAACTATCTTAGAACTTAGTAGAATCTTTCGAGCACTCTGAAATAAGACATGTTTAATTTTTTAAGTAAGCAAATTTATTATTGCTTAAAGTTAGATTATCCCTCAAACTCCACCCAACAATTTATAGCGACGCCTTTATAATTTGACAATCTACTAGTTTTAGATTGTATTTTATCTTCATCTGGCTGAATCAATCGTTTAGTAAAGTTATGCTTTGATTTTTACGAGATAAAAAATTATTCATTTCCTTTAAAATAAAGTTCTTGAATAATCCAAAAAATATTGACTTGCAGATTTTTTCAAAGATAAATACAAAATACAATATACAGTAATACAGCAATATAAAATACAGTAATGGTAATTATATTATGTAAATCCAAACAAACTTAACACATACACACATGTTCCTTCACAATAATCGGATAGTTAAGAGCGTATAGATGGTATATTTTACAAAAAAGATGGAGAAAACAAAATTGCTTTAATTTGTCAACTGAGAAATTGTAAACAATTTTGGTTTCCTGATTCCTGAGAAAACCCATCTTTCTACTTCTGACTAGAAGGAATCTGTGCCAAGGCCACTCTGTCAATCTGCTCACTTACAAGTGGTTAACAATTTGTGGAATCTTCTTAATTTAATTTGTTCTAGAATGTATTACCGTTTCATTCTAGTTCGCATATTTCTCAGAAGATGATTGGATGGATTGCCCAATTAAATATTAACAAATTAAACCATTTTATTTTACAAAAAGTGGTGGTTTTGTCATGTTTACATCTGTGGGGTAGTGTTAAATGGAGAATATGATTGTTTAAACAGAATTTAGTCTAAGCTTTCTAACTTTCTCATAAAACCTCTCGCTTTCAAAACAATGTCTGGAATGCTAACTACAAGATTAGTTACTCAATTTTTAATAAAGGTTTAGTTGGTAAATCTAATCAATGAGTAGGATTGAATATAAAAATAGTCAAGGCCTTAAAGATTAATTTTGTGATAGTCTACATGATTACCCACTTAAATTATCTTACTTTAATTCCCAGAGAAGTATCTACCGATTCTTTCTACATTACATCGGTTTCCCTCTGTGCTTGATTTGGCTATCGTAAACAAAGAAAGTAATGGCAAAATTAAAACTATACATGGCCGTAATGAATATTACTCTATTAAATCGTCATAAGCTATTATGATTGTGTTATAATCCCACTAGGACTCAGAATAGTTCTAAAAGGGCAAATTCCAACTTTTAGCTTGTAGGACTACTTAAATGATCCGTACATGAACTTGTCTTGACTACAGTCTACAGATTAGGATAGGTACGTACAGTAATTGAAGATCTAATTGTCGCAACAAACATGCAGACTAAGCGAATTTCCACTTGTCTGATTGATTTCTAATAACATATGTATTTCCTTTAAACCTGTCAGACTTATTCCCTATTTAAAAAACATTTTAAATTTAATATGTTCCTATAACTTTGCTTTTAAGGGAAGGAAATGGTACATTTCATTTCAAGTATCAAAAAATACTCACATACAGAATCAATTAATATCTCAGTAAAATTAAAACTATTATATTTTATAATTAAAATTACAGTAAACCTTCAATAGTTCGACACTCCTTGTAGTTCGACACCGGCTGAGCTATTTTGTCAAGTGATATTTAATGGTTACTAGGTATTATTGTGATGTAAGCTGACTGGAACATTATCTTTTCATTTATTGTTGACTTGAGACTTACCTAACTAATGAACAGTGAGATTGTTAAGCTTTTTGGTATTTAATAAATTTTGGTGATTTCTATATTAAGACTTGTGTTTTTACTTTCCTGTATATTAAACTCCATTTACTCCCTATAGTTTGATTTTTCGATAGGTAATTTTAGTATACTAATAACAATATATTTTCCAGGAGAATGCCAGGGGAGAAGGAGAAGAACGGGACCAAGAAGGGGGGAGTGATGACTCCAATCTCCTCTCCCAGACCACTGAAGATCACAGCGGTAGGGGATGGTATGGTGGGCAAGACTTGTATGTTGATAACCTACACTTCCCAACAGTTCCCCTCCGAGTATGTGCCTACTGTGTGAGTATCACTGTCCACCTTTGGATACTGAAGTAGAATAGTAGTCATTCCTCCCCTTAAGGCCCTGTCACACATGGCGAGTTTACTCGCCGCTGTTAGTCGCCACTACTTTAGACGCCACTTTTAATCGCAAGCATGAAAAACACTTCCAGTCACACATGGCGAGTTGTAGCGGCTACTTCAGTTTGGTTGTGTAGGAAATTACTGTGCTGAGGAAAATTTGGTCTTTGATATTAAAGAGGGAGGCTTTAAGACGTCTGTTGCGGTTTTGCGTAAGTGATCTGTGCAAAAATCAAGAAGAAGAATAAACGCAAGTGGGTTCGGGAGTGGATAGGGAGACGAGAGGGTGCATCATCAATACCAATGAAAGAATTAGCAAATGAAGGCCCGCAATCATATTCTAAAATAATGAGGATAACCATTCCAAAATTTGATGAGTCGTTGAATATGGTATCACCACTGATATAGAAAAAAGATATATTTTGGAGGAAGGCAATTTCATGCAGAAAAAACTGAAAATAGCTTAAAGATACATGGCAAGTGGGGACAGCGTCGATTTCAAGGTCGGCTACTAGCGACTACTCGCCCCAAAAGTTGAACATGTCCGACTTTCATAGCAAGTGGATTTTCACTTGCCAGAGAGTGCTAGTCGCCGCTACTTGCTAGGTCATACATAGCGATTAGTAGCCGCTACTCTAGTTGCGGGGAGTAAACTCGCCATGTGTGACAGGGCCTTTAGTACTTCAGTTGTAGCCAATAGAAAAAGTAGTTGAATAAGCCACTCAGAGTCTGCTACAGTACATGGTAAAATAACATGGTTTATTTTATATTCTGTGTTCTCGACACCAATCTTTGGGCTACACATGGAGTTGGAATATAAGTTTATCTCTATGTATTTATCTGTAAATATATTAAATGGTCATAAACAATGAATAGCTTACAGACAGAACAAGATATGTAAAGTGAGCTAAAAATGTGTACTCATAAGGTTGAAGACGCAACTTCGACGACTTAGCAACTTCCGCGGGAATTAGATCCGAAACTTAGATGAGATCACACAAGAGGATTTGAATGTACACGAGAACTTCTGCTTCCACTCCAAATCCCCTCTTCCCCGCAGAAATGAGAAGAAGTTTTCGACCGAGCTTTTGTGCAAGCTGCCTAGTGTGCTTCAAGCTTTACGCCAGCATAAAATTAAGTTTTCTTCGAGAAAGGGATAGAAAACTGCAAGTTTCTAACGCTTCGTGCTTTCAGCAGGAGTGCTTTCATCAGTGAACTCCGTCCCTTCATTTCATATATTTCTAACTGATTTTTATCATAATTAATAATACAATTTTTTACATTTTTTTATTACATTCATCATTTTCATTTATGTGATTGAAAGCTACAAACCAGAATCAAACTATAACGCTGAATGTTTTACATGTTCATTAGGTTCGACAACTACGCAGACATCATCAATGTCGACGGACAGGAGTTTGCCATGACGCTGTGGGATACGGCTGGTCAGGAAGACTATGAGAGGCTAAGGCCACTCTCCTACCCCAATGTGAGTTACAATAAAATAGGACCTCGATAACTCGAATATTTTATAACCCCCTTGAAATCTTGGTAACTCGCAAAGCTAAAAGTAGTTTTTTTTATAATTTTTTTTTATTTTAACGACGATAAGTGGAATTTTTATGTTTTGCAGTCAATAATACTAAAACCAGCACAACTCTTAACAAATAGGTTGTATGATATTAAAACACACTTAAAAATATAACTAAACAAGGTAGGCCTAAGGTTTAATTAATTTGTGTAATTATATTTACCATTTTTTTTTTTCTAATAATATAACAAGAAATTACTTTTGCAAACAGTATGAATGAATAGTTTTATTCAAACATTTGCAAAGCTTGTGCTGCATACATCCATGTTTTGAATTCTGGAAGGTGGGAATTGGTACTTTGTTATGGTTTAATAAGTTGTAGAATACATCAACTTGTGTCTTGTTAAATCCAGACATTCTGTCAAGACTTGTTTTAAAGGATTTAGGTTTTTCGTTAAGATCCTCTCAGCAAATATGTTCAGTAAATGGATTTGTTGATCTTATTTTCATCTGCGAACTTGAAGACCAAACTTCTGAGCTTTCTCAGACTTAGACTGTAGGTAACACATTCATTCAATTTCTTAATGTGTTCAACAAGTTGACCCTCTAATTCATCGCTGAAACCATGTTGAAACGGCCTCGGATAATTGTCCCTTCACCCTGTAACAAAGTAAAACATATCTTTAGTGTTGCACTCAATCTGTATTTATATGTCTAGAAAAAAGGTTACGGCAACAAGGATAATTACCGTTATCAGTCTCCTAAAGTAGCTTCTGAGATTCAATTTGACATCCTAGCATCCAGTACCGGTAGCTGTTAAGCACTTCATTGTTACATATCTTCCAATCAGTATTTCTTTTTTATCTTCTGAAAAAAAATTTAATAAGTATCAAGTACAAGGCTTAAGCAATTTAGGATTGAAACCGTTGCATTAATTGTTGGAAAAGCTTGCACTAATTTCAAAATGCTTAAATATTAGACTAAACTAGTTGTAAAAAGACCTTACCTTATTTTGAGATGAATTAATAGAGAGAAACATCAAACTATGTTGCAATGGCGTTGACACTGTTCTTGCATAGGATGATACTCAGTAATACCAACTAGAGCAAGCGCAACTTAAAAATTACCACTCTGTGTACTTTACCACAAGCTACTCTAGTGTTTTTTTAGATAATTTGGTGTAGTTGGATATCATTTTGCCAGTTAAGTGTAAATATAAAATATTGACATACAAAAAATGGGATCAAGGCAGTTGATAAAAGTTGAAAGATAAAAGTAAAATTGCTAGAGTCGTTATTCGCATTAACACTTTATTAACGATTTTGAATGAGGCTGAAGGTACAGTAGACTTCCTGTTATCCGGACTCCTCGGGACCGAGGCCAGTCCGGATAGCGGGTTTTCCGGTTAAACCGACGTCCCCAAAACTCGTTAAAACGGACCATTTAAATGCATACCTTATACAGTATTTGACTTCAATTTAGGAGAGCGTTGTATTTAGACACGTGATCACTGGTCTCAAATCTTTCCCACAAGAACAATCGTTTCAGTACTGCCCACTTCCTGCTGATCTAGTCCGGTTAAACCGATGTCCGGTTAAAAGGTGTCCGGATAAGAGAGAGTCTGCTGTAGATTATTAAAGAAGAAGAGATCTAAAAACTCTCAAATTCAAATGGTTGAGTGTGTAAAAGCTGTTTATGCACGTCGTGTGACATAGGCTAACACCCCAACACCTCAGTGTTTCAGGTTTCTTTTTAATTCCTTGAAAATTCAAACTTCGCTAACTCAAAAAACTTGATGACTCAAATTTTTATCCTTTTCCTTTCACTTTTGAGCTACAAGGTCCTACTGTATAACAGTAGCAAGTCAGGCTAGTGAGTCATCTCAGATTAACCACTAAGTTAAGTGGCAGAAAATTTGACTCATGGTATTGAGTCAGATTTGCTTTCTGAGTGGATAGAATTAAAACAAATTTATACTAAACTTTCCCAAAACTATATTACATTCTGAACTCTCTTATCAATCATTGAGATGTGGATAAAATAACTAAATATAGACCGTCAGCCGTGCTTTGTTTACCATAGTTTCTGGCGCACACCGCATACATGCTACATAACTACACGGCGCTCCCAGCGGTGTGCGTCAGAACCTATGGTAACCTCAGCACGGCTGGCAGTCTATATTTAATTCTTTTTGTCTATTATGCCACCTATGTGCAATTAAACCCAAATATGATTGAAGGATGAGTGTAGAATGGAGTGTAATGATCTGTGTAGCTTTGTTACTAGCTATGATCAACTGTTTCGTTAGTCAGAATCGATTTTAAGCCCAATGATCAGGGCAACAGCTGGGTCCAGTTTCAAACCATAAGTTAGAATCGATCCGGCAACCTTATGATTGTTAGGCGAGCACTTATATATATGTTACACTCAAACTTAGTTTGCGCAAACTAGAAATACCCACTTCCCGACGAGGACAATTACATTTGCTCACATCGCGTTGTGGTTATTTTGGCTTTGCTCAATCGCCGAAGAACGTTTTGACTTCGGCATTTGAGTAAACTAGTTTACCCACAACGCGGTCTGGGCATTTTGCTTCAGCAAATGTCCGAAAAGAAATGCTCACTCTGCGATGTGGGTATTTCACACTGTCCACATCGCGAAGTGGGTAAAAATTTCGGACATTGTCCGAATTCAGAGTTTGAGGATCAACTCATATTTGTACTAAACTTCATTGTATTAGCCCTGAAATTTTATTATTATATGTATCATATTTTGTGGTAAAACACCAAGGAGGATGCTAAATGCATTTTCATCATCCTTAAAGAAAATACTTTAAATCCACTTATGTGTAGCTTTGTGACAATGTTTGTATTGTACGTTTAGAGCATCAATAAAGATTATGATACCTTAACAGATAATGGACTTCCTTAACAGAGGGATTAGATCTAACATACATGGGGTGCCAGCATTTTACATCTCACTTGATTGGTTGTACTTAAAATTAATATATGTGATTATTGTAAAAAAACATACTATTTAGGTTAAATAACATCTTATCCTATGTAATTAATACAAAGTATGCCTTTTAAGTGTAAAAAAATACAAAATTTTAAAGTATGATAGGAAGAATATCAAAACAACAAAGCTGAAGTTATTAGTTATATAATGAATGGCTGCAAAGATTGATAGCAGTTATCTAGAGCTCTTATCTCTTCACTGATAAGAGACAATAGCTCTACAACTGCAGCTGCACAGTAAAAAAATTAGTAACAAATTATCTTCTGTACATAAATAGATGTGAATAGTACTGGGTGATTCTAAATTATTGATACACTTTTGAAACTCTATAAATGGAAATCCATACAACCTATCATCAAGGGGCGAGAATAAATTGAAAGAGGAGAGTCTAAAGTTTTGTTTGACGCCACTTTGGTTTCATAGTGGCAAAATTAGCCTCTACAGACATTTTTAGATTTTAACTGCAATGTTAACTTTTCTTTAAAAAGCCCACCGGCTTATGTTACTGACTGGGTTTTCGCAAACAGTGATTGAAATTTTAGTAGCACTTACTGCGGTTAAGTAGAGTGGTTTCCTAGTCTTTGATTTATTTATACTGGATCCAGTTGTATTAACTTCTCTTATTTTAAGTTGACTTGTCCAGTTACAGTTTATTAACAACCATTTTGTTTTACAGACAGATTGTTTTCTTCTATGCTACTCAGTAGGAGCGAGAAGCTCGTTTGAGAATGTCCTCAGCAAATGGTACCCAGAAATCCGACACCACTGCGCAAACGTGCCAATAGTACTTGTCGGTAAGTGCCACAAACATTTGAGATAATTTGTATTTGTTGATTTCATTCATAATTTTATGGCATATATTCTTTGTTCAATTAACCTACTGCAACTTTGGAGAGGAATATACATTCAACATTGACACAATCAAGTTTAACCAGATATGAAACACAAAACACGATTCAGTTTACAATAAACACATAGGATCAGAAGATTACTTTCAGTATCCAAAATTGATGTCGACCACCAGTACTTCATTTGGGACCTGACCACTTTTTGTGATACAGCTATCGATTTTCTTAATATACAGGGTGTCCCGGAACTCTCTACCAATATTTTAGGGCATTGTTCCTGGGTAAGAAACATATCTAAATATCATATTTAAATTGTCCAGAAGTCCTTAGTTACTCAGATAGCCGCCATTTTGTTTTTTTCACTTATTAATTTTTTTCTGAAAATTGGTTAAACATACGAAGTTGAAACTTTGCACAAAAATTTATGACAACTAGACAAAGCTACAAAAGAATTATGACGATTTTTCAAATTCATAAAACAAAATGGCGGCTGTTTAAAATTTTGTTTCTTAAATTACTCGAAAACCGTTGATGTTACAAAAATTTTACAAGAATTACTTTTTTAAGGCAATTTTATTACAAATCGATCGACACCTTAATCTTTAAGATCGGACGAGTATTAACTGAGATATGGCAGTTTTAGTGATACGTGACCGCTTTCAGCATGCGCTGCAACTAATATCCGGCGGTCACGTATCACTAAAACTGCCATATCTCAGTTAATACTCGTCCGATCTTAAAGATTAAGGTGTCGATCGATTTTTAATAAAATTGCCTTAAAAAAGTAATTCTTGTAAAATTTTTGTAACATCAACGGTTTTTGAGTAATTTAAGAAACAAAATTTTAAACAGCCGCCATTTTGTTTTATGAATTTGAAAAATCGTCATAATTCTTTTGTAGCTTTGTCTAGTTGTCATAAATGTTTGTGCAAAGTTTCAACTTCGTATGTTTAACCAATTTTCAGAAAAAAATTAATAAGTGAAAAAAACAAAATGGCGGCTATCTGAGTAACTAAGGACTTCCGGACAATTTAAATATGATATTTAGATATGTTTCTTACCCAGGAACAATGCCCTAAAATATTGGTAGAGAGTTCCGGGACACCCTGTATAGCTCGCTGGGTGGTATGGATGTGTTGATTACATTTCTTTACTCAGTTTTAAGAGTTTCTTACAGATTTCTTTCAAGTTTTTTTTCTGGACATACAGTACATTGTTTGTCATATCATGAATAACATGGCCTAAATTTTGTTATTTTGATTTCTCCTCAAGAATTTGAGATACAGTACCTATTAACAAGGAATTTTATTTGTCAGAAACACGTAGAGAATGGAGCTGTTAAAACAATTGGTTGATTACTAACTGCGGTAGATTATGAAATTGCAAATTCTTTAAGTACTTATTTTTTCAGCAACAAAAACGGATTTGAGGAACGAAGATGGCGACACAATCTCAACCTCTGAGGGGAAGAAGATGAGGAGGAAAATAAAAGCAACAAGACTGGTGGAGTGTTCGGCAAAAAACAATGAAGGACTTAACGAAATCTTTATTGATGCTGTGAGAAGTGTAGTGAACAAAAACAAACGGAAATCGTACTGCTCGTACCTGTAGCCATAGTGCCCGCTTTGTAACATACTTCATAATATTGTTAGGATTAATGTTATTTATATATTTGCTTTATTGTGCCAACTTGTTTTGACCAAAAGATCATCAATGACGTATACGCTTGTATGAACGAACTAAGAAATATAATCTTGTACAGTAGGCCTACTATTCTCTGCATGCTGTTTCACTTTAAACATGTTGTTGAGTGGACTTAGAGGTTATTTATTAATACGTTAGGTACAACCATGTTTACAAAATCTATGTTTCAGTATTTATACTATGAGATGAATCAATGATAAATGTTCACTTACTTTGGATACATGAGGCACTAACTTTGAGTTTGAGAAAGTCAAAGCCCATCAATTAAAATTGTTCAAAATAATGACTGATTCAATATGTAACATTAGATAACTGTACCAGACACATCTCTAATTTGTAACCTACAAATTATCCCTTTTGTAAATTATTGTAATTTATGTCTTGTGCCTCTCTTTAAGTGTTTTTTTTTATGTTTTAAAAGTATTTTAGTGAAAAACTGTACTAAGTAGTATTGGTTTTGCTCTTAAGTCTGAAAAAAATCCCCCACGGTTTCATATGTTTACTCCTCAAACTTAAATGATTTTTAGCTGTCAAACTAATTGAAATCCGAAGTTAGGATATTTTAATTTGTTGGACAAACATTGTTAAATTGAAGTATGTAATTTACAATTAATTGTAAAAGGAATTCCATACCTTATAGTTTTAGATGTTTTTAGCTCATGTCCTACATTGGCTAGCAGCTTTTAATTAAGATTTTTGGTTAAATAAACTATTTCTACAGTCACATATTTTGTATATTGTAATGCAGCACAGAGGAAACATTCAATATTTCACCTTAAGTGGTGTCTAGTCGCTGGTATCTAGGGCAAATTCCAACACCGCCCCCCTCCCCCTCACGTACTACAACGTACACACTGGAGGAAGATCTTGCTTACCGTGCAATAGGCTTTTTTGGACAGTGCTCGCCACTTGAGCCCTTCCTTGCTCTTCAAAAGTTTATTTCCGGCACAACATACTAGAGCTGAAAGTGCACGCTGGTCCCACAGTGTGTTTCCTCTATACTACACTTCTCTGTTAATGCAGGCTTATAAAGTGAATAATAGTGTGTTATTTAATAAGATGTACACTAGTTGTTCGTAAGATATGTTTTAAAAATGTGAACGGTTTTGAATATGGATAGCTGGTGTTTGAAAAAAAGGAGTAATTTTTTTGTACAGTTTTACAAGTTAAAATTTATACATTTTTGTAAACGTTGAGTTATCTATAGGTGAATTTTAAACCCAAAGACGCAATGCCAAACTGATTTAATGGAGACATTTAGTAATAACTGAATAGTTTTTACTAACTATTTAGGTAATAACCTGACTAACTGGTTATATTTATTTACCTGTAATTAGAAATATTTATTCTAGTTTTATTTAATTAAGATTGCAAGTATAAAGTAATCAGTATTGTAAAGTTATTTTCCAGAATGAAGTTTCAAGTTTTATATATAATATACTGTATGGTATTATTTTTACAAATATTACTATTAACTTAATTTTAGAGAGCATCAGAACATATTTGACAACTGTTCAAGCCATATAGTAGTTATTTCTCCTTTATTGTAGTTTTGATACAGATTTTGTTAGCACTTGTACATATATTTATGTAAGCCTAATTTTGTTACTTATAAATCTGTACCTTACTGCGCTGAAAAAAGTAATTTTAATAAAGTTTGTATGTTTGCTTTAATTAATGATTCAATTCTCCCTTTTAGCGAATTTCCCTATAGGGAAGTAGCTATTACTGTAGATGGCATGGTAAGACCTGGAGCCGGGACCGATATACTTTTAAATTTTGATTTCCCTAGAACCCAAAAACACTATTCGTTAAAATTTTTACATATATATACATTTGTGAACGCAATAAATAGAGTAACTTTTGTCCAATTTTGATGAAATTTGGTTTGAAGGTGTAAGTCGGAATAAGCTTAAACAAGTTCGCAAACCAGCATGATCGGACCATGGGAACAGGGTTTTATGGGGTAAAAATAGGTTTTTCTCATTTTCAACCATCTAAACACAAAATTTCCCAATTTCTATCCAGACTATTTTAAAGAGCTTAAAAACTAATAATTTAGTATACCAAAGTGTTTTTGTACGGCTATTAAAATGTTGTAGTTTGCTTGTTGTTGTATATTTTGATCAAACTAGGCAAATTTGTTTATTTTATACTAAGCTACTAATATTTTACTAAAAAAGCACACTTCATTAGCCTCCCTGTAGCAGCAAACCTAGGTACTCATTAAACCAAATGTTATTTCAATAGATTAATTTAAAATCAATTCAGGCAAATGGCAATTTGCTTAGTCTGCAGGTTTGCTGCTGCTGGGGTACTTATAACATCAACTTTTCTCCACTGCTATGTTTTAAGTTCAGTAAGTTCAATATAATCATTGACTTTTGGGTACCGGTACTGAAGTGTATATATAGAATTCCAATTTTTCATTAAAGAAGAGCATAATTGAATGAGTCATTCACATATGCTAGTAGCTACAACTCTATTTCCTACCTTTTTTTGTTAGGTAGGTACTAAAGTAGTTGATATGACATTATAGATGCTCTATCAAATCAAATCAAATCAAATCAAATCAATTTATTGACACAAATAACGTTACATTGGGTGCTTATAGCAGTAACTGGTGTCTTGTCAATTACATAAATCTTAATATAAGTCTAATATAATATCTAAAAATAAGTCGTCCTTATCGTTTTACTTGATTAAGAAATTAGTTTAATCAACAAAATCCAGTAATCTACATCTCAGTGCAATCTGTCGGCCAAGTTTGATTTATAAACTGGCAATAATATTAACATGAGGATAAGATAATGTATTGAAAGCCAACAGACCAATTAAAGCTGTGTGTGGTCAAAACACTCAAAATTTTACATCCTTGTATTTAGAATCAAACTGGTAACCATCTGTTTAGTAGACAAGTGTAATACAGTAATCAGTTTTGCGTTTAATGTTTTTAAAATTCTGAAGAGATCACGCATACGTTAACACTAGAGTAAAAAATCATTTTAACATAAAATCTGAAATAATTGACAGTTAAAATTAAAAAAATTAATAAATTTACCATCTTTACTCCTATGAAAAGCATGGATGAATATTAGATGCTCTTCTATAATGGTATTCTCAGATTATGGATAAACAAAATGCCCTTAACAAAATGTAAACCTTTATTCGTTAACTAATGAATAATTATATTGATGTTAAGGTAGAATATTCACACGTCACATTACCAAAATAAAATTGAAAAATGGTCGACTTTTACACTGTGAGGATCCACACAGCTGATTGGTGCCGAGATCATCGAAAGTCTACATCAGGTGGGACGACCTTCTGTTGAATAATCTTCCCATAGCCTCCTCGACCTCCGTCAAAGTCTGTGCGATATTCGTCACGCACCTGTAATCATACATTACATTAGAAGACTTTATGTGAAAGATCCAAGATCAAAATAGTTCTGCATGATGTAGTCTTTTGTGGGAAAACAGAGTGAAGGCCTATCGATTGTTTCAGGATTAGCAAATATTAGAATTCATCAGGAGGATTAAGGGCTGTGCCAGGTAGTAGAGGGTGTTCTGACTGGAGGGGGGAGGGATTAGATGCGGAGTAGGCTTCTTGGTACTCGGGAACTTCACAACACGGGTTGTGATTAGGGTTGTTAATACGGATATAAATCATAAGGTACCTTACCAAATCTTTCAAATGGTAAACTGGACTTGTGTGTAGTGGAATATGGCCAAGAAGTTATGAGCCAATTTTTCCGTCTAGTTAGGTTAATTTGGTTAAGTTAGATGGGTCTATCTTCAAATAGATTAGGTTAATAAAGCCAAAATATCAAATATTTCAATAGGCGTGTACCTTTACTCCTACAGCTGTCTTTTTAGAGTTTCAAGACACTTGAGTTATTGATTTTTACCGTGGTTGTATGTCATAATATTAATACTTAGTAAATCAAAAGGGCATTCAAAATCAACAAAAAGATTCTTGTAGGTTTAATAATTATTTATATTTAACTCCCTCCGTTCGAACACCTCGAGGTTTGATCCTTGTCTGAAGTAAACACTATGAATACAAAACTTAATGGGAACATTAATAACTACACATAATGTGGGCAGTACTAAAATACCATAGAAAACAACGAAGGGAAGCAAAAAAAAAATCTGTTTGTAACTGGGCAAGGAAACAAGTCGAAACATTGTTTAACAAGGCTGCAGAAAAAGCGAAGCATTTATGTTGTTGCCAAACACAGGGAACCATCCGTCCCAAGTCTGAACCAAATTCATCTGAATGAGCAGGTTTCCACAGTAAGTTAAAATCATGCAAATCTATACAAACGGTAATCACTACTACGTGTTTAATGAGTATCATCACTTGTTAAAGGAAACAATTTATATTACAACTGGGAAATAATCCAATTACAAACAAATTAAAAAATTACGCTGATTCTGCTGGAAATGGTTATAAGATGTACAATTTTTTACGATAGGAGTCAGGAGGTTTCAAACTTATCACGAAGGTAAATAAGATAAATATAGCATGAATATCGTAAAATTTTGATTTTGAACGAACTAAGAATGTCCCATAACTACGTTATAATCAAGCGAGAACTTGGTAGTAGTGTGTTATTTAAATTCTAAGTTGAATTTGAAGTTGCATTGTGAATAGAACCTAAACACTAAACTAACCCTTCTCAAAAAGAATATTGAACCTTAGTTAATGCTTCATCCAATACTACTGTTTACAACTAATTACCTGTCCGCCAGTTTTGCCTCGGCCATACTGTCTCCCCTCCACAAACCCTGCGTCCCAGTCAGTTCGGACAATCCGATCGTCCAATCGTGTCCCGTTGACATACCTCATGCAGTTCTCAGCATCTGGTCTTGTGTAGTACCTAGTACCCTGTTAAGGCTCAAGCATTCAATGGTGCAAATAAGTGGTGTCACTGGTGTCTAGCACTAGTCGCTGGTGACCTACCCTCGCACTACTTTCCCACTTACCATCACATAGTATATCGCTTCTGCTGGAGGAAGACCCTCGCCGTTTAGGCTCTTCCTAGCTCATAACAAGTATTTTGCCCTAGCATGTACGTACGTCCACACACAACATACTAAAGCTGAAAGCGCACGGTCGTCCTGTAAGCAAGTTTCTTCTGTGCCTTACTTCTCTGTGATTAAACTCAAATGTTAAGTCAACCTCTTACTTATTACAATCACAAGGGCTCTCTACTTAAGGCAGGTCGTAGAAATAGTGTTTCAGGAACACTACCTTACCTATTTTATGTTTTAACTTTCAAAACAAATATCTCATGAAAGAAGAAAACAAATACTAATATGCTCACCAATCCAGCAAGTTTGGGACTTTGGTGGTGCTGGACTAAACGTGTTCTAAAAAGCAGCCATTCCCTGCCTACTCTCCGTAGATCACTCCGGACTCTTTCTATTCGCTACCAACTTCCTATCTCCTAACGTTTGCCGATCGCTTCCTCCTCTGCCAATTGCTCCTGACACAGCTGAAGACACTAACATGGCTTAAAATCAGCATTAAAAATGTGTCAAACCTTTAGACGGATGCTGCATAATTGAATGTGCCGGACTATCAGATGCTGTATTTAAAAAAAAAAGCCATATTAAAAACATGGTAGCCTAGGCCTACAGTAAAAGCCCGTTTTTTACTGTAGGCATACCGTGTTTTTCATGGTGGTTTTTCGTGGTTTTTATTGAACTGAAGGTACTTTTTCATCTAGGGGGCACAAATGAAAAAGATAGATTCGGAGGATTGACAGAATGGGTTTAGTTTCTGATAAGTTATCTAGGCTAGTTTCAAAACTCAATTTAAAGAAATCAAGCACTGGATCACTACCATTTATGTGAATTTTTTTACAAATAATTCATCCTAATATAATATTATATATCTGAAAAACTGAAAAAATAAGAGCAACACCTTTTCAATAAAGTCCTATTATTAACTTATCAGGTACCGGTACAGTATTTTTTTTTCCTAGGACACTAGGCACGAGCCTCGGATTGATTTTCCCATTAGGCCTACTTCAGACTAGACCTAGGGGTTGCGGCATTATCACTTGGATAAAATCCATTGGTGATTTGGCTAGATTTGAACCTGGGACCTCTTGGCCAGAAGTCCGGCGCTCTAACCACTAGACCAGCTCACTCCCCAACCATCAGGTACAGTATTAAACGTATAGGTATTTAAGTCAATCCACACTATCTAGGCTACTTTGAACGTCATAAAAAGGATACTCAACAAAACAGAAACCACAAGGTGTTTTTTTGTACTTGTCCAATCCCATAACAATTCTCTTGATATGTCCACATTTTGAGAAGAGTTCATAAATCTGTTCTTCGGTTGTATAAAAAGACAAATTTCCAACATAGAGTGTTGAAGTAACTCTTAACAATCGTTCTTGTTCACCCCTGGAACCCTGAAAATTTATATTTAAAATATCAACAATATAGGCCTACTGTAAACACGAAAACACAACGTTGAAACAATGTTTAACTGATGGGCCCAATGAACAAGTTGAAATCCCAATGTAAGAACTACCTACTATACAACTTGGCTATTGTTAACAGCCTTTTTGGTTGCAAAAACTTAGATCTGCAATAGGCTTAAATTCTTTTAGTAAAGAAAATATTTTCATCCCTACAAGCCTCCAAATTAGCAGAGTGAGCATGTTTTTCAAGCCTGATTTACAGTTTCATAACTGTTCTTTAAAATCTACAAATGAATAAATTTTATACCTACTAAGTTTTGCATTAGGCCTACCGTAGTTAACCGTTATACCTAGCTTTTCTCTATGAATCTAATTTTCTCTGTAAACTGATATTATTCAATTGTTTTCTAATTAATTACGATAAGGATTCTTACAGCAGGTTTATGACCTTTATAGTCAATCGATGCAAACTCGTTGTAAGTAAAGGTTTCTGTAAAATACTGATTTGTAAGAACCATTCAGCATTTGAACAGTCAGATAAATGCGCCTATTGAAATTAATTGCAAAACAAGCATAGTCTAAGCAATAGAAGTGAATGACATTCTAATGTCTAAAACACAGGGAAAGGGAAAAATTGTAGGTACAGTACAATAAATTAAGGCATTTTACTCTCCCTGTAAAGTCAAAAACTGCAAAATTTTGGTTAGAATTATCATTTGACTTTAAAATTATGAAAATACCCCCGTCGCAGCAAACCTGCATACTAAGCGAATTTCCATTCACCAGGCTCGATTTCTACTAAAATATTCCCTATACATTTTCAGATTTATTTCCTATTTAAATAGGCCTAACATTAATTTTAGTGAGTAGTTAGGTTTGCTGCTACGAGAAAGATGTTGAGGTGTGTTTTTTCAATTGAAATATTGATAGCTTAGTATGAAATAAGCCAAATTGCCAAATTTGATTGAAATATATCCATAAACAAGCAAACTAGAACAGTTTATTTATTCTCCATAAGAATAACATGGGAATTTTAAATTTACAATTTCTTTAATTTTCTCCGTAGTCAATGAACATTCAAAAAAACTTCAATATACTAAATTATTTGTTTTTATAAGCTCTTCAAAATGGTCTGGAGAGAAATTTAGAAATTTAAAGTTTTTAGGGTCAAAAATGAGAAAAACCCATTTTTACCCCATAAAACCCCCCATAAACCCCTGATCCCATGGTCCGATTATGCTGGTTTGCGAACTCGTTCGAATAAATGTAGGTTTACACGTTTGTACCAAATTTCATCAAAATCGGATCAATTTTGCTCGAGTTATCGCGCTAACGGACACATATATAAATATATATATATATATATAAATATAAATATATATATATATATATATATATATATATGAATTTGAACGGATGGTGTTTTTGGCCTCTGGGGACCTCAAAACGAAAAAGTAAATCGGTCCCGGGTGTAGGTCTTACCATGAGACCTACGGTAATAGCTTATTCCCTATATGGGAAATTCGCTAAAACTGAACATTGTGAATAGGACCTAAGTTACAGGTACTGCAATCAAATCTACACTTAACTGTGTTTCTCTAGTCCATAAGTTATGGCATTTATGTGGCAGACACATGAATGGTTTAGCCTGTACAATATTATAGGGATGAGCATAGATTAAACCATTGATGTTCACCATCGATAGTAACTTAACATCGACGTTAACCATCAATGCTTTTTTAGTTTGTCTGCTTTTTGTACTCTCCAGTAGGCCTAATGGAAAACATTGATATCTCAATACTTGGCCAAAAAGAGCAATGTTTTTGTCAAACATCGATGTAACAAAAATATCGGTAACCTACCGTTGATGTAAAAAACATTGACTATTGATGCTCATCCCTAGAATGTTATACCATTACACTTATTTGTGACAAGGTAAGTTAAGTTAGGTAGGCAATAGAGCTAGGCATAGCCTGCCCTAGACTGTAGATTATTTCTTTGACACTGTAAGTTACTTGTGCGTAATAGGACCCTACTTGGGCTATGAAGACTAATTGGAACTACTTAAAAGCCATGTATAATCATAAATGGTTTTAGCATAACAAACCTATTCTAAAGTTATAATATTACCTTAAAGTGCTGATCTCTATAAGAACTCAAATCAACAGAGGGAGAAATCACTGATGTCATTTCAGTTTATAAAAATACTTTAAAGAACAGAACTAAAACACTGAGCTGAAAGCCTTAAAATATCTTCGTCGGATGTAGAATCTTTTAGATATTTTTTTAACAATCAATTCACCTTAATTCTTAATACTCCTGCCAGCAGGTTCATACAAGCCCAAAGCCTTATCACGAAAATAATGATTTAATTAAATTATGTACACTGTACAGTAGTATGTAGCAATTTAGGTTATGCTATGTTTGTTTACGTTTACTATTCCGATCCGATTCCATTGTCCCAGTTTAGTTTCGCTGTTTCACTTTTTTTTGCTGCTCAAACTAAAGATGGTGGCTCGGGCCGTGCTTGGGCTTTACTTCATGCAGCTACAAAATAAACGCATATTGTGTATAACCAGTATTAGCTCCGATTCAAAGTTTATTGACAGTTTGGCACATTAATAACTGTTTAAAATAGTTATTAATGTTTAGATATAGGTTTAACGTTACCTTTTGCAAATCAAATCAAATCAAATCAAATCAAATCCATTTATTGCCATCAACACTAAAATACATGTATAGCAACGTCATACAATTACATCACAGTATATGCATTAACCTACTTAATATGTTCTACAAATTCTTTGACCTTATACACACATAAATCACACAAAATCTTTCTAATAGTAAATTTAAATTGTCGTATTTCAAGACATTTAATGTGAGCAGGTAACATATTATACAACCTTTTGCCAAATTCACTAAAGTTATTAATTGTGGTCATAAAATTACATTGGTTTGGACGGAGAAAAGTGTTTTGTCTGGTAAAATGGTTATGAACTGAATCATTTGTAGGGAAATCTCTAATATTATTTTTAACATACAGTAAACAATCTAAAATGTACAGAGAAGTGACAGTTAAAATTCCAAGTTTCTTGAATAATGGCTTACAATGTGTTTCACTGTCAACATTGAATATTGCCCTAACAGCTTTCTTTTGCAACAGTTTCAGCTTTTTAATACTACCAGAATGGCCCCACACAACAATACTATAAGACAAATGACTTTGAATGTGAGCAAAATGAATGGATTTCAACACATCTATACTAACAAAAGGTCTAAGTTTTCTAATCATAAATGTACCCTTGGCAACTTTTTTACAAATCATATCACTCTGAGAATCCCACTTAATGTTAGGCTGTACTAATACTCCCAAAAACCAAAAACTTAACACTATCTGAACAGGTACTTGATAAACTAAATTCAATATTCTGTGTTTTGCTACTGTTTATACACAATGAATTGGCAGCAGTCCAGTCCTCGATTACAGAGTTAGTAGTATGTAGAAGATTTTTAATTAAGGAAGAACATTTACAATTTATCAGGACAGCTAAATCATCAGCATACATATACGATTTAATATTATCATTACTTAATGCAGTAGTTAAATCATTTATATAAACAATAAACATAGTAGGTCCTAGAATTGATCCTTGAGTTGCAGTTTTGCGTCAAAGGATCCTTGGGTGTACAGCTGTTTCATGCCGCTGGGCAGTTTTTGAAACCTTACTTCACCGAGTTAAGTATAGTTATTTGTGCAACTAGTGAGCAATTGACTCACTCGAGAAACCATTCCTCACTCGCCTACGGCTCGTGAGTAAGTATTTCTCTCGAGTGAGTCAATTGCACTTTGCACTTGAGTTGCACATTATATTTTTCCTACAGTTACCATAAAACAAATAAATTAGTAAAGAAACGTAACATATTTTTAGACAGAAGTGAACTTTTAATATGACATTTTTAATGATACAACACTAAAACAGTTGACCGGCTGATTTACAGCCAGTGCTGCTAACAAATTTCACGAGCATATGACCTTGTCTGCATGTTACCACAGAAAACAGAAAACGTATTACTTTAGTATAACAGTATAACTACTATAACAGGTTATAGTAGTACGTTTTCTGTGATGTTACGTGCTCACTATTTCGTGCCTTCACGTTGCAAATCTGGAGTGAGACAAAGTAATTAGAGTGAGACAGTGTTAACATTGTCTCACTGATGAGCGAATTGGCCACTTTGCTTTCTCAAATCAGTGAGAGAACGTACATTGTTAGGTAACTGCAGGAAAAAGAAGTTGTTCACATTTACATCACCCTTGGGATAGGATAAATTAACATGGCGGGTTGGGTAAACCATTTTATTTTGCAATTTTCTATGAGACTCCATTGAATTTCCTTCCTATATTGAAATTTGAACCGAAGCCCGTTTTATGTTTGTTTCGTGTGGGTAGAGCGGTAGAGCACACTAATATCGACTGTTTCTCTTTTATATTAGGATTGTTTTTTTTTTTATGATTTTGCTTCAAGGTGAGTTAATACAACCATTAGTTATTTGTTGTAAATAAATAGTTTTATTTGGTTAAAACATTTTGTTAAATACCAAGTAAACGTTAAATACCCCCGCCGCAGCAAACCTGCAGACTAAGCGAATTTCCATTTGATTGATTGGATTTACACTGAAATGTCTACTTAAAAATATATTCCCGATTTAAATAGAATTAGTTTAACAAGTACTTAGGTTTGCTGCATCAGGGAGGGTAAAACTGCTTTTTTTTGTAAAATGTTAATGGTTAGTAAGAAATAAAAACATTTTCCAAATTTGATCAAAATATGTTCATAAATAAACAAACTACAACAGTTTACTTATTCTCCATAAGAATAACATGGGAATTTTAAATTTACATTTTTTTGGAATTTTCTCCGTAACCATTAGGCGCATAATAACGCTCCAATATACTAAATTATTTGTTTTTTTAAGCTCTACAAAATGGTTTGGAAATAAATTGCTAAATTTTATGTTTTTTGGGTAAAAATGGGAAAAACCTATTTTTACCCCATAAAACCCCCCGTAAACACCCGTTCCCATGGTCCGATCATGCTGGATCGCGAACTCGTTCGAATAAACGTAGGTTTACACGTTTGTACCAAATTTCATCAAAATCGGATCATTTTTGCTCGAGTTATCGTGCTGACGGACACACACATATATATATATATAAATATATATTTATATATATATATATATGAATTTGAACGGATGGTGTTTTTGGCCTCTAGGGACCTCAAAACGAAAAAAAATCAGTCCTGCGCCCAGGTCTTACCATGAGTACTACGGTAATAGCTTATTCCCTATATGGGAAATTAAATTCGCTAAAACTAAAATGAAAACAATCACCCTCCACATGCATCCAACGCATGTACCAGACTGAACTAATTATATAGTGAACGTGATTTAACTTCATACTATCCATATGATAATGCGATTAATTATATTTAATGGTTTTCTTATTGCTGGGTTTACTTTCACATGGATTCATATCGTCCAGGTTGCTACTGAAAATCCCCGGAATCGCTAAAAAGAGACACGTGTTGAGATAATAATCTGACAACTGCCATCATCATCTGATGATAAGCGGTGTAATCTTAAAAGCCATAGTTGGCCAAATCTCAGTGCTCGGGGGTTAATTGATTTCGGTATTCAAATACGCGCTGAATCACTAAAATCTAGGATACAATTTTGGGAAACAACTAGAAATGTATCCGTGTTCTTGTTGCATATAATAACTTTTTGATTATATTTATTTATTTAGTACTCTTCGATTCCCTAATAGGAATTTAAATGTTTTTGTTTTACATATGGTTTTCTGTTGCTTTATGTTTATTCTGTAAATAGGTTTGACCAATTTGTTATATCATGAAAGTTTGTTCAAGTAAAATGTTCTTTTCATTTCATTCTGTTAAATTAACTTGTAAAAATATTATTTTATAACAGTTCTAACCAGGAGTAAATAATATGTTAGTATGATTACAATGACATAAATTAAATGATTTGCAATTTTGAACGTAAACAATTTAATTTTAATTATTGAAGCTCTGTTTCATCAAACAGAGAAAGTCAGTGTACAGTATTTGGTATTTTCGAAGCTGTTAGGTCGAGTCACAAATGAAAATGACTTGGTAGAACAAACAGCTGATCTTTAATCTCCATTCATTAAGGTTTATTAATTTCAGGGCTTTACCGCGTTCCCCAGACAATTTGGCCGATGAGGTGTCACTCTAAATATACATGGTTGTGATTCATAGATATATTTGCTTTTCGTTTGCTCATGAAGGTTTGTTACGTTCTAAAGCTGTATTCGATTTAAAAACGTTAGCTCCAACGTTTTATCAAACGAAACACATATTTATATGGTACTGGTACGAGGTGTTAGCCCGTCCTACGTACGGGAATTCAGTAGTCAGTTAAAACCGTGTACAATTCAGATCAGCTAGTTTACCGTCCAAGACGGGAATGTTGCTGGAAGTCAACAGTCCCGGAAGATCAAATAATTTATACCTGTGCCGCTAGGTCAAAAACTACAATGTTTGCAGTGTCTGTAGATCAAAAGTCCCAGTAAGTCAAATAATACAGTCCGAGCTAAAAACGTGATCTATGTTAAAGCAATTGACTTATTGGGAATTTGACCTAATGCAACAGCAGTTTTAATATAACGAAATACGGTAAAATACAAGTTCAGTTTCGCTGAGTCAACAGTGCCGGAAGATCAAAAGCAATAAAAGTGAACGTCGATTCAGTGTAAAGTAGACCTCCTGCAACGCTTACTACACCAACAAAACTCGCTTTTAGTTACTTCGTGTTTTGTCATAATTAGAATAGAGCTAAAATTATCATATTTGGTACATAGCTTATCTATTAATGCTTCTTGCCAACTGTTTGGTCAACACTGTAAATAAGTATAGTTTATGTAATAAAAAGCCTTTAATCAAAGTTTGTGGCATGAAATACACGCAAGGACGATCTGAAAATTTCTGGTTATTATATACGTTTGTAAAAGGAGACCCATTTAATTTTAGAACTATTTTATGAGTTATAATGTAGTCTACACATCAACTGTGTAAATGTATTACGCCTCGGAAGGGTTGAAACCTGTCCAAACTATCATATATATTATTAAAACGTAAATGGGGGTTTTTCACATTCTGAATCAACCAGTCGACGGATTTTCATTATTTTTGTGTTGAAAGAAAGATAATTTTGAGAACTAGGGAATGTCAAAGCCATAATTATAATTAAGGGTCCCAGTTTTTTTAGAAATTAAGTTTTAATTTTTTAAAAAAGTCTAGCAGCCGATGCTAACCTTCTAAGCTAGCTTTTAGTAGGGTCTGACTTAGGGGAGGTA